TCGGTGAGCGAGCGCCGCGCCGGCCGGGGTCGGGTGCCGGGCTCGGGGGTCGGAAGACAGCCTGTACGGAGACTGGGGACCTCGCGTGGGCCGGGGAGCTGGCGGCGTCTAGTGAGCTGCTAAGTCTAGGGTATTCTCAACAGTGGCGTCCCTGCTAGGTCTCCCGCCTCAGAGGGGCTTCTGGTGAAGTGAGTGAATGCGCTGTGCCTGACTTAAAAGTCAAGTTGACAGGCAGAATGAGCTATTTCCTGCCTCCTTCTTCTTCCTTTTTTAAAAATTTATTTATTTATTTATTTTTTAAAATTTGGTGATACTAGGGATCGAACCCTGAACCCAGGGCTTTCGCGCTGAACTATATCCCCAGCCCTTTTAACATTTTTATTTTTAAAAATGTTGGGACAAGCTCTCATTGTGAAATTGCCAAAGCTGCGCCACCACGTCTGCCTTGACCTTCTTAACCTTGGCACTTGCCGCTGCTCATCCTGCCTGTGGGGTCGACATCAACGGAAGGGACCCCTGTCAGCCTGGTGTTGCCTTCGTCCAGTTGTATGGGTTGTGCATAGGACTGAGATGGAGTGCCCTAGGTACCCCTGAACCCCACCTGACCCAAGGCTGTGGTGACAGTAGTAGTACAAGTGCTGGTAGCAGTAGAGGTGGAGACTGTGTGAGGGATAGAGAGGACCTCCAAGCCAGGCTCCCTGGGCTGCTCTGGGTTGTGCCCTGCAGGAGATGTTTCTTAATGGAATCCTGCCTGCTTCGAGGAATTATGCATTGAATTCGATTGCAAAGCCCATCATCAGGCTCCGACAGCCTCCTGGCCTTACACTTCGGGTGACGTTAGGGGCAGGCAGAAGTATTGTAGGACCTGAGCAGAGTCTTGCCTCCCTTCCCGATAAGCAGAAGGTCGAGGCTCCTGGCTTTGGAAGGCATGGATGGTTATCAAGCCCGGGACTGAGGCTGTCTTGGGGTTTCTATCTTCTATTCAGTGGCGTTAACAACTCTGGAATGCCCTGAGCTGGATCTTGAGAGATGAGCAGGCTGCATTTTGCAGGCCAGCTGGGGGCATTCCAGACAGAGCAAAAGGAAGCAAGACAGGGTGTGGGACTGTGCTTCCCACGGCTCCTTGGTAGCCCAGGAGGGGTCAGGAGGTCAAGGGCGTGTGTGGGCTCATAAGTTGCCTGCCTTGGGGGGTGGAGAGCATCTCCCTCCTGGGAGACTGTGGTCTGGCAGGTCTGGTGGCTGCTGTTAGCTGGCCGGGGTACCAGAACGAAGGTAAGGAGTGTTGCCTGTCAGTAGACAGATGCCAGGGTTGGAGCTGGGGCAGTCTGCTAAAGAAAACGCTCATCTCGGTCCTCTTCAGGGAAGACTAGCCAGGTGCTGGCACCCTGTGCCTGGCAGAGCCTGGGCAGACATGCACCTGTTCGCCTCCATGGCTGTTCCAGATTTTTTTCCCCACGTACCAGGGATTGAACTCAGGTCCTTGCACTTGCAAGGCAGGCACAGCGCCACTGAGCTACATCCCTGGCCCCTGTTCCCTGTTTTATGTGATGTTGGGATGGCCCTGGTCCCAGCAGGTAATGTTGGGAGCAAAAGGGTCCATGGTAGATTTTGTGTGTGTGTGTGTGTGTGTGTGTGTGTGTGTGTGTGTGTGTGATCATCCTTCCTGTAGAGGAGTTGAACTCAGCTTCTGCTTTCTGAAGATTGATGATAGGTTTTTTTCACCCCAAGAGCAGCCAGAAACCTAGATTTAGGTAATAGTTCTCTGTTTATTAAAACTATGAGGAGTGGCAGATGTGGGCATTCCTGTACTTTCAGCACTTTGGGGAGCTGAGGCAAGAGGATTGCAAGTTTGAGCCAGGCCTGGGCAATAGCAAGACCCTGTCTTCATATAAAAATTTAAAAAGAGCTGGAGATTTAACTCATTGCAAAGGCCTGGGTTCCAGCCCTAGTACTATTTTTTTAAAAAAGTAACTGTTCAACTATTTGCTTGAGCTATATGGTTCTCATGATATTTGACTTCTTTGAGCTACAGAGATGGTAGTGGTACATCCTGTAATCCCAGCACTGGGGAGGATGAGGCAAGAGGATTGCCACAAGTTTGAGGCCAGCCTGGGCTACATAGTGACTTCAAGGCCAGCTGAACTATATAGTGAGAGCTTGTCTCAACCCTCCCCCCCAAAAAAAAGAAAAACCAAAGGTAGTAACTTCATATACTCGTTTGGCTTGAATAAAACAAAATGTGATCAAGGTATTGTGAGCCCCAGGGATCCCCGAGTGACCCCATCTGCAGAGTCTTTCTCTCTCTCTCTGTTTTGTTTTTTTGTTACTAGGGATAGAACTCCGGACCTTGTGCTTGGGAGGTAGGTGATGACACCATTGAGCTTAATCCCCTTTCTCCCTTTTTGTGATCCCTCCTGTCTCCCCCTCTGTGCCCTGATGCCGGCTGAACTCTCTCAGTCCCTCTCTGCCCTTCACCGATGTCTGTGAAACTTTCTCCTTCCTTCCCCAAGCTTCACTGCCATTAGCCAATAGCCCTCAACCTCTGGGACCTCTTGGTGGCCTCCCTGCCTCTGAATTTGGGCCACCCACTCCCAGGGCCACACCCTGTTTTTGCTTCTCCCCTGCAGCCTTCAGTTCCAACTCCAGGGGCTTCTCACCAGCACCTCTGACTCCTTAGCTACCTGCCCTGCAGGATCCCAGCTGAATCCCTGTGGCAGCCCCTCTGTGGCTCTGCTGGGGCCTGTATGCCCCTGAGGAAGCTGCTGGGACCATGGCAGCATCTTCAACCTCAGTGGGCTTCTTGGCACAATTTTCCCCTCCCTTCCCTCCTTTCTTCCTTTTTTTTCTTTTTCCTTTTCTTCTCAGTACTGGGGAATCAAACCTCGGGCCTTCACACAGATGCACATAATCCCCAGCTCTTTTTAATTTATTTTTCATTTTGGAGGCAAGGTCTCACTTAGTTGCCCAGACTGGGCTGGAACTTGCAATCCTCCTGCTTCAGCCTCCCAGGTGCTGGGATGACAGGCCTGTGCTACCATGCCCAGCCCAGTTTGTCCTCAGCAACCTTGTCTGTCCTCTGATGCTTGCCCTTGCCTTCCACTTGCTCAGAATATGAAGGTCACCAGTTGGAGTCTGTTTCCATCAGCTTCTTACTCCTCACCCTCAAGCTCCCTCCAGTCCATGCCAGCCATTCTTCCTGCCTTCTAGAGAAGACAGAGACCTCCCATCTCCATCCTCCACCTTTTCCACCTGCAGTTCCTCTTTCCAGTGGCCATTTTTCTTTGGCTACAAATTTGTTACAAAGGTCTTGTTTGTCTGTCTGTCCATCCTTCCTTTGTCCCTTCCTCCCTGCCTCCCTCCTTTCCTTCCTGTGCTGGCGATCAAGGAAGATAAGCAGTCATTCTACCGATGAGCCAAATCCCACCCCTTTTTATTTATTTATTTTTTTGAGTCAGGGTCTGGCTTTGCAATCCTCCTGCCTCAGCCTCCCTAGTAGCTGGGATTACAGGTGTGTGCCATTATGAGCGACTTTCTTTTATCTCGAAGAGAGGAGTCTGGCATCTGTTTGGGTGGTGGGCTCTGGCGCCTGGGCACTGAGGCATGTGAATCTCAGTATGAATCAGGCTAGTGAGAGTAAGGGGTAGGAGTGAAGTAAAAACTAGGTAACAAAGCAGGCGTGGTGGTGGATGCCTGTTATTCCAGCTACTCAAGAGGCTGAGGCAGGAGGATTGCAAAGAGGAATTGGAGATCCATCTGGGCAACAGAGAAAGACCCCTAACTCAAAAAAAGAGTAAGACCCAAAAGAGAGAAACATTGGTTCTGAGTTGGAGATGAGGGAGAGGGACACATCTCAGTAGACCGAAGTGTGCCATCTTGTGAGGGAGCTGTTTGGGGTATCTGGAACACTGGACACAGAGTGTCCGGGCCCCACAGGAAAGTGGATCAGCACTCAGAGGAGTCTGGGCTGGAGCAGAGCACCCGGAGCCCTGGGCAGGCTGGGAGGTAGGAAAGGAAGATGGGAGACCCAGGAGACCAGGAAGCCACAGCTACGTGCAGAAGCCTGCAGGTAGTGTTTGCTTGGCCGCTGCATTTTAAAACTTTTAAATTAGCAATTAATTTCAGAATGGAAGGATTTCTAGGTTTTCTTGAAAAGTCGGGGTCTCTAGCATTGCTTCTAGGTGAGAGCATGGGGTGTATGCAGGAGCACTAGGAAGGGAACAGGTGCAGAAATTCAGGCTGTGTCTCAGAGGAGACCAGAGGAGGGATGGTCCATTTCTAACAAGATGGGTCAGAAAGGGGGCAACTGTGGGCAGTGAGGAGGTGAGTGGGTGTGAACCAAGCCATCCTCTTCACCGAGGGAGGGAGCTGGGGTGTCTGATGGAGAAGGCAGGGGTTTTTCAAGGCAAGAGAGGTTTGTTTAGTGTCACACAAGTTGAGTATCCTTAATCTGAAAATCTGAAATGGCATTGAGGTCCTAAACTTTTCTGGGTGCCCACATGTCACTCAGAAAGTTTAATATTAGCCAGTGTGATGGCACATGCCTGTCATCCCAGCACTCAGATTGAAGCAGGAGGATCACAAGTTTGAGGCCATTCTGGGCAACTTAGTGATACTCAAAAACAAAACAGTCAAAACAAACACAAAGCCTTTTTAGAGTTTGGAGTATTATGAATTTCAGATTAGATTAGAGATGTTTAAAGCCTGTGCAAATATTCCCAAATCTGAGACACTTCTGGTCTTTCGAATTTCAGATAAGCAATAGTCAGCCTTTATAAGGAAAAAGAAGTGCGTGTGGGGGACACAACATGTTCTGCAGCAACCAGAAAAGGCAGGCAGGCTGAGCCATCTTTGTGCTCTGTGGGGCAAGGGAGACCCCAAGTCTCCCTGTGAGGGGGATTCACGATGTCGGGGCTGCTGGCCACCTCTGGGTCTCTATCCTCCTGGAAGTGTTGGTCACCCTCTGTTTCTGTCCTCTTCCCTGCTTGGCAGCACCCTGCCCACCCCGCCTATCCAGAAGTCCCAGATACCTGTATAGCAGCTGCTATCTCTTGTTATTTCCTTCAGGCTTTTGCTCAAATACCACCAGAGTCTTCCCTGAGCAGTCTATTTAGAAATCACTCAGACTTTGTGTGTGTGTGTGTGTGTGTGTGTGTGTGTGTGTGTGTGTGTGTGTGCGTGCACGCACGCGCGCATGCGTGTGTGGCACTGGGATGGAACCCAGGGTCTCATTCATGCTGGGCAAGTGCTCTTCCATGGACTGAGTCACACCCCTGCCCCTAAACATTTTCAGTCAGCCTTATTTTTTTCCATAGCACTTGCTTCTGCCTGACCTTATTTAACTGGTGTTGGTCTCCTTCATGGGACTGAAGGCTCCTTGGGGGTGGGACTTGTGTATCGCAGGATTTCTCCAGCTCTGAACTGTGGGGCATGAGGTAGGCCATCAAGTTTACAGGTGCCTTGTGGTACAAAGGAGGGGGCGTGTTGTCTGGAGAGGGTGGATGACTGCCCAGTGTGCCGGTGTGGTCTTATTTCTTTGTGTCTGGGTCAGAAAAATCCATGTTTATTTTGAAGAATGGGATTTGCTTCATAGACAGCAGAAGGGATTGTCCCTCAGTGCAAGGTGCTGTACCTCAGGTCTTGAGAGGAGGGGTAGGTGCATCACAATAACTGTGATGAATGACGTCAGGCACTCTGCTCAGCTCTTTGAGTCCTCAGATGACAATAACAAGTAGTGGATTCCCTTGTGGTCCCCTTGTTAGTAACAGGTGATCTGTAATGTTAGCCTGGGGCCGTGGACCTGCCCAAGCTTAGGCAGGCAGGCAGCATCAGGACAGGAGCCGAGTGCCTGGCCGTCTGGCTCCACAGTCCATGGTGCCAAGCACTGCTCTCTCCACCTCTCGTCCCCTAGGCATCTGCATCAAGTGTGGGCTTGGTATCTATGGAGCAAGGCAGGCGTGCCAGGCGATGGGGAGCCTGTATCACACCGACTGCTTCATCTGTGACTCCTGCGGTAGGTAACCTCTTCCCTCTACCCCTTTTTGCTCCCTTGCACCCAAGTCCCAGGCAGAGGGACCACTCAGCTCTGGCCCAGGCTGGCCACTGTCTTCCCATGTGCGTGGGTTATGGACCCTGACCCTCTGGACCTGGCCTGTTAGAGGCCCAGGCCTCTGGGGAGATGCTCTAGGGCCTGGGGAGGGAGCTGTGGAGCCACTGAGGAGCGCTTTGGGGCTGTAGGAAAGGCCGCCCCTTCTGTCCACTGCTCTGGCCTCTGTCACCTGTGGGGTGCTAGGGTCTGCCTAGGAGCGGGGTGTGGAGCAGCAAGGGTCTGCCTGTCTGGACCTAGGGATACTGTTTCTTTTTTTCCTGCAATTTATTTATTTTTGTCTTTGTTTACACACAGTATAAATGTAGATGTTCTAAAGAGAAAAAAGTAACTGTAATCTGTCCACCCTAATAAATCTGCACTCTTGATTTTCCAACTGTTCTTCCAGATTTTTATTTTTTTGTACTGGGGATTGAACTTGGGTCTTTGCATTCGCAAGACAGGCACCAGAACCACTGAGCTAAATCCCCGGCCCTGTTCTTCCAGATTTTGCCTCAAGCAGACATCTTTTGTTTATTTGCATTAAATATTTTAATACTTTATTGCAGAATAATATGTGTATAGTGTTAAGTCAAATATTTCTTATAAAAAGCTTTTATTTTTGAGATACTGGGGATCAAACACAGGATCAAACACATTCATACATGCTAGGAAGGGCTCTGCTGGTGAGTATAACCCTAACCTCAGTTGGTGTTTTAAAAAATTTTATTTTGTAAGCCGGGTATGGTGGCGCACACCTGTACTCCCAGGACTTGGGAGGCTGAGTTAAGAGGATCGCTGCGAGTTCAAGACCAGCCTGGGCTACACAGTGAGTTCCAGGTCATCTCAAGTACATAGTGAGACCCTGTCTGAAAAAAAAAAATTTTTTTTTGTTTGTTGTTTGTTTTTCGGTGGTATTAGGCACTGAACCCCAGGGGTACTCTACCACCGAGCCATAGGTTCAGCCCTTTAATCATTTTAAAATTTTGAGACAGGGTCTTGCTCAGCTGCCTAGACTGGCCCCAAACTTGTGATCCACCTGTGTTGCTGGCATGTGCAACTGCACCCAGTTTAGCTTTAATTTTTTTCACTTTGAATGTTCCATTCAGGCTTTTTACCAAGCTCCCATCAGAAGGCCCTCACTAGTCTGTGTCCTTGAACTGTACCCTGTGTGGAGCACTCATTCCTCCCTAGGTGCCTACCTCTGTATCAAATCCACAATTTCCTGTAGGGAATGCTAAGGAAGCTTCAACTCTGAGTCTGTTTGTTGGCCTGGTGAAATGGAAACCCAGACAAAGGACTGGCTTCAGGTTGAGGTTGCTCTAGCGGCTCAGGCAATTATGATTGGCTTGACTGGGTTGCCATGGGGTTTGGGCCTTATCCTCAGTACAATTTCTGTCACTGTGCTGAGATGTCCTGGCAGCAGTTAGCTTTAGACTTCCCTTTTATTCCACTTGTCTGATGGGAAAGGGGTATCTGTCTCTCTCTCTTTTTGGTGGTATTACGGATCATTCTGCTTACTTCTTTGGAGTAGGCACAAAACTTCTTTTCTAGAAAGTGTATCTTGTATCTTACTGGCCGGGTCACCCTGAACTAGTCCGTGTGGCTGGGGATGTTCTGTGACTGACTTGCCTGAGTCTGACCAGTACTGTGGTCAGGGCAGAAGAGCTCAGGCCTACCCGGGGATGGAAGTGAGTTCGGTTTTTCTGAAGCACTGGTGAGGGAGGCTGGAGACTGAGTGAAACTTGAAGATTGAGGGGGAGAGTCAGTCCCGTGAGGAAACCACAGTGTCTCCAACATGGTCCTCTTGCTTTTTGTAGTTACCTAAGAAAGTGGAAGTGGCGGGAAGTTTTCTGGAAGGTGTGATGGGTTTTTATTATGTCCTTTATTGACATTTGATTGGAAATAGATTTCCAAAATAGAAACAACTTTTGTCGTTTTTTTGTGTTGGTGGTACTTGAGTTTGAACCCAGAGCCTCATGAATGGTAGGCAAGTGCTCTACCAGTGAGCCACACCTCCAGACCTCACAGTTTTGAATTCATAGTTTTTTCTTCTGGTAGCCAAGGGTGCTGATAAATTCTGATGTCATTCATATTCATTCTCTTTCTCTGTCTAAGTTGGGGTCTCATTGTGTTGCCCAGGACGGACTCAAAACCTGGGCTCAAGTGATCTACCTGTCTCAGCTTCCAGCATGGCTGGAACTGTAGGTACAGAGTATTGCACCAGACTCTGATTCTCTTTGTGTGTGTGTGTGTGTGTGTGTATGTGTGAGAGAGAGAGAGAGAGTGAGAGAGAGAGAGACCTGCTTTTTCCGTTAGGGAACTCTCAGGAAGAAGGCTGTTACATGGCACAAATCTTTGACGCTTTCCTCTTGTAGCCTGTGAGGATGGTGTGTAATCAAATGCAGTGTGAGTGGTGACCCTAGAGTTGTATAACAGCAGCTAGGCTTAGGGGATTCTGTGTTTGGTGTAGGTTTTGGCTGTTGGTTAGGCTGTACTCTCCTAGAGCTCTTTTAGACTGCAGGTTTGCCTCTTAGTTCTGAGAGTTTTCTCTTAAACTATTTATCTATCTCTGGAACTAAATTTAATGATGTATAATTAAAATAATATGTCTTGACCAAGTTATCTGTATAATATGCTCCATGTTTATCAAAAAATAGGATCTAACTACAGATAAAAAATGCCAAGTGCCAGGGATTTAGCTCAGTGGCATTATACCTACCTTGTAAGTGCAAGGTCCCGAGTTCAATCTCTAGTACTGAGAAAAAAAAAAAAGCGCCAGCTCCAGCCAGCCTATCCTTGCCTTACCTCCCATTACACAGTAGCCCTGTAGCAAGAGAATAAATAGGTAAATGTTTTGCATGACACTGGCCATCACCATGGTAATGACTGCCAGGGCTTATTTTCCAGTTAGGTCTTATTTTTGGGGAAAATAAAGTGATTGTGAATCCACTTTAGAAAATTCATTTTTGTACTCTGCCTCACAAACAGATGTAATAATCTCAATGGGTATAGAAAAAGTAACCAGTAAAAGTCAGTATTTATTTTTTTAATTGGGATTTTGAGACAGGGTCATGCTGTATGGTTCAGGCCAGCCTTGAACTCACTATGTAGTAATCTTCCTGCCTCAGCTTCCCAACTGCTGTGATTGTAGGTATGTGCCACCATGCCCAGCTCAACATTCATTTATCAGAGAACTAATAGTGAGCTAGAAATAAAATTGAACTTTCTAAGCCTAATAAATATTGATTACCATGAATCTATAAAAACATCATACTTAGTAATATGTATCTGTTTTTGTTTTGTTTAGCACTGGGATTGAACCCAGGGCCTTTACACTGAGCCACATCCCAAGCTGTTTTCTTTGTTTTTCCTTTTTTTTTTGGAACCAGGGATCGAACTCAGGTCCTTGCACTTGCAAGGCAGGTGGTGGAACTACTGAGCTAAATCCCCAGCCTGTTTTTCCTTTTTTTGAGACAGGGTCTTGCTATATATAGTTCAGGCTGACCTTGAATTCACTATGGAACCCAGGCTGGCTTTGAACTCCTGGTAATTCTCTTGCCTCAGCCTCCCAAGTGCTGGGATTACAGATGTATACCACCACACTCGTGTCCCTAGCTCTAGGAATGTGTTTAAATTTTGAGATAGGGTCTTGCTAAGTTGCTCAGGCTGGGGTTGAACTTGAAATCCTTCTGCCTCAGCCTCCAAGAGTAAAAAATGTATCTTTAAATAGGGAAATCATGCTTGAGATCATTTCTTCTATTCAGCATTTTTGTAGAGATCGTAGTCATTGCAGTAGGACAAAAATCAATATGCCATGGTCATGGAAAGCTGTACTCAATAATGTAGAGATGTTAGTTTTTCCAAAATTGACCAATAAATGCATTGGAATTCCAAGTAAGCTGATTTTCATGATTTTGACAAGCTGATTCTAAAGTTTAAATGAATGAGCAATGGGCTAAGAATTGTCCAGATGATCTTTAAACAGAGCAGGTTTGAGGACTGTCCCACTACCAGGTTCCAGTGCCTATTGTCACACTAATTACTTTCATGTGGTACCGGTGCCAAGTACAGACAGACAAATGTGACAGAATGGAGAGTCCAGGACCACACCCGTGTCCGTGTGGAAACTCGATGGGCGACACAGGTGGCATTGCATCTGGTTCTGGAAGGACCTAAAAAATTAAATTTGGGTGGGTTAAAGATTTAAATGTGTAGCTGGGTATGGTGGCGCACGCCTGTAGTCCCAGGACTCAGGAGGCTAAGGCAGGAGGATCGCTGTGAGTTCGAGACCAGCCTGGGCTACATAGTGAGTTCCAGGTCAATCTCAACTACATAGTGATACCCTGTCTCAAAAAACCAAAAAAAAAAAGAAAATGTGTAAAGCAAAACTTGACATTTTTAGGAGTAAACATAGAAGTATATATGTACCAATCTTTTGGGAGGTGATTTATTTTCAGTCACACTGAACATAAAACCAGAGATTAATAAATTTGGCTATTTTAGAAATTACATTAAATTATACCATGAAGAAAGGGGCAAACCATATACTGCCACGTATATATCTTATCAGGGTTTTCCAGAAAATTCATTTTCACATTATTAAGGAAAAGATAAATATGGAAAACTCAGTGTTCCTTTATAGTTTGACTGTGAGATATATATATATACATATATACGTACATATGGGTATGTGTTTCCTTAATTGTCTGTATTCCTGCTTGGGACTCTTTAGGATTCCTGAATGTGAGGATTCTGGTCTTTTATTGATTTAGGGGAAAAATCTTAGCTATTTTATTTTCCAAAGTTGCTTATCTCTCATTCTTTTTTTATTTCCTTCTAGAATTCAAATGAGAAATATTAGACTTTCTTATGCTTTTTGTCTCTTAACCTCTCCTTCATATTATTCATTCCTCAGTCTCCCTTTG